TAACTTAGATAGACTTGAAGCGCAGCAGGACACCCTATCCACTCACCCCCCCTTCCCCCTCATAACCCACCCACACTTCCCAAATCATTAAGCCACCCTCACAACACTGGTATACTGATTACTGTTTAAAGAGTAAAGTGGGATAGGCCATGTGACATGTTAGTGATTCCCAATATGTCAATATTATATTGTCTTCCCCCTTCTTTTCTGTAAACCCCCATTTTCTATGTTCAAAAACAAAATAAAAAGATATAAAAAAAAAGGCAGCTTTTAAGGTTTCAAGATTTGAAATATGTACATCTATTGACAGTAAAACAAAAAACAAACAAACAAAAAAAAATAGCTACCTTGATTTTCAATCAGCAGATCACCATCCACTTCCCAATCAAAGCACTAAGCATCCCTATATACATTACTATGCTCGTTTCTAAAATTTAAAGGTCACCCATATTAGTGTGCTGCTGAGAACAGTTATTTAAATGTCTGTTAGTATAAAAGTTTCACTGCTAATTTAACCCCTTCAGGACACATGATGGAAATATTCTGTCACGATTCCCTTTTATTTCAGAAGTTGTGTCCTTAAGGGGTTAACTCCTTCAGGACGGAGTCAATAGTACACGTTCTGATCGAAACAAAACGTAAACAAAAACTGGAATTTGCGCTATATGTCTGTTCACCCGTAATTCACCGCTGTCACATTAAGTGCACCCACACTTATTATATATCATTTTGTTCAGGAGAAACAGGGCTTTAATTTATCATTAACTATTCATATATGGAACATAATTTTTTTATAAATAAAATTAAAAAAAATGTGAGAAAATCAGATTTTTTTTTAAATTTGTATTTCCGTCTGACATTTTAGCTGTGAATGTCATAATACTGTTAGGTTTTACTGCAAAAAAATGAACATATTTGTAATCAGCGATGTCTCACGAGTACAACGGTACCACCCATTAACAGGTTTTATGGTGTGTTGGAAAGTTACAGGGTCAAATATAGAACGTTCCATTTTTCAAATTGAAATTTGCCAGATTAGTAATGTTACCTTTGAGACTGTGTGGTAGCCCAGGAATGAGAATTACCCCCATAATGGCATACCATTTGAAAATGTAGACAAGCCAAGGTATTGAAAGTGGAATATGTTTAGTCTTTTTTAGTTGCCACTTAGTCACAAACACTGGCCAAAGTTAGCGTTCATATTTATTTTTGTGTGAAAAAAGCAAAAAACTAATATTTGGCCAGTGTTTGTGACTAAGTGGCTACTAAAAAAGACCTCAGGTTGTCTACTTTTGCAAATGGTATGCCATCATGGGGGTAATTCTCATTCCTGGGCTACCATATGCTCTCAAAGGCAACATAACCAATCTGACAAATTTCAATGTCAAAAAATTGAAATGCAAGCCTTATATGTGACTCTCTAACTTTCCAAAACAACATAAAACCTGTACATGGGGGGTACTGTTATTCTCGGGAGACTTCACTAAACACACATATTAGTGTTTTAAAACAGTAAAACATATTACAACAATAATATAGTCCATAAAAGTGCAGTTCGTTTGTAAAAAAATGCAAAAAAATTCACTTTTACTTAGAATATCATCGTTGTAATACAATTTACCAGTTTGAAACACTAATATTTGAGTTCAGCAAAGTCTCCTGAGAAAAACAGTGCCCCCTATGTACAGGTTTTATGATGTCTTGGAGAGTTACAGGGTCAAATATAGTTCTTGCAAAATAAATTCTCTGCACTTTCTCCCTGTGTTGTCAGGCATGTCAATCAAATTTTAATTAATAAAAATCACATACTTGTGACGGATCACCTGGCACCCCGACTGGGTACCTCCATTGAAGGATGCTCCTAGCACTTCCTGAGGACTCCAAGCACTGCAGCAGACACCAAAACCACGGAACCGTAGGAGCATATGAATGCTCTCAAGCATGTGAATGTTGTATACAGCCGAATAGGAAAAAACATGCGAATAGGTTTACACTCCTAGCAGTCAAACTGGAACAGCATACAATAAATCCTCCCCCAATAATGAGACGACACTTCACTTTGAGGGTTAAGCAGGAACTGACTGTACTGGCACATACAGCCTCTTTTATTCCCAATCCACAAACTTAGTACTGCCCACAGGGTTTTACAGAACAACCAATCAATCTGTACAATACACACAGACACTCCCACACAAATTCCTCCCCTCTGCCTGTAATACAATTACCTTACACAATGGGTAATCTAATTATCACAGACAGAAATACAGTTTCATAAAACACATCACAGGGACCCCAAAACATGCAATAACCCCATAAAAGGTATATCCTTGGAACCGGGGGATCTGGGTGAACCACATATCCAAAATTCACCCAGATCCGTTCAGTACTTTGGAAGATACAGTTTAATGCAGATTCTGCAGAACATATACAGGCTAAATGAAAAACAATCACTGTATAATGTGTCCCCTGCTGTATAGTCCAAAACCACTGCACGATGTCTCTGTGCACCAAATACTGGCGAGATGGCACCGTGTTGAAAAGTCCAAACAGTGTCTGTGAGTTAAAATGGCCGCCATCCATTGTTCTCACCATGTGCTTCATCCATTGTTCTCACCATGTGCCTCTGATACAGGAAATGGTAGCCACCCAGTAACTCCACAGTATGTCCCCAGATGGTTCTTAAAGGGCCAGCAGCAGCACAACACAAATCCCTTATGCCTAAATCATGTCTTTAAAGGGCAATACATCCCAGGGGCCATAGTCACATGGCAGGAGGCTGGCAATCAGTCTTCTCCAATGCCCAGTGGCAAGGTTGGTTTCGCCACAATACTTATGTTAAAAGATTATTTAAATATACAGATAGAATTTTAATATATATGCATTTATAGGTATTTAAATTCTACGTGTATACTAATGTAATCTTTTATGTAATTATATGTATATATCTATATAAATATATTTGCAGTTATATAGATATATATAGAATGTCATTCTAAGTGTATTTTGTTACCAATATATACATATGTTAATAACAAAATACAGTTAGAATGAAATTACATATGAATATATAATTTATATAAAATTTTGTTTCAATATTTTATTTATTTTCATTTTATTTATTATTGTAATTATTTGTATATATATATAATATATGTGTATATATCTATTATATATATATATATAATAGATATACATATTATATATATATGTAACGTCATTCTAAGTGTATTTTAATATTAATAGATGCACTTATATTAATATTAAAATACACTTTGTATGATGTTACATATATATAATATGTATATATATTATATATATAAAAATACTTTTAATTTAATTTTACACGCTTTTTAATTTTTTTTTTACATTTCCCACCAGCAGGGGGACTGTCTGATATTTCAGACAGTCCCCCTGCTGGCAGATACACAGCCAGCTATAGGGGGCCATGTAATCGCTCTTTGAGAACGATCACATGGCCCCCGGGGGCCTCATTTGCCGGGGGAGGGCTGCCTGGGCTGTCAGGCAGCCCTCCCGAAGAGGATCGCGGCAGAGGTGAGCATGCTGGACCTCCTGGGGGCTTAAGCCGTTACGGCGTTCTATGCTGCCCTTTAAAGCTGCGACGGCATAGAACGCCGTAATGGCGTTAAGGGGTTAAAGGGTAAAGGAGTGGAGAAAATGGAGAGGAAGAAAGTGGATGAAATCCCACCCATTCCATAGAGTTCAATTACTTGCATACCAAATTAAACCTGAACTATTCATATAAACAGCTGTTGGTCTTACATTGTAAAAATCATCTTTAACGCCTTAAGGACCAAACTTCTGGAATAAAAGGGAATCATGACATGTCACATGTCCTTAAGGGGTTAAAAGGGAAAATAAGCCATGACACTCTGGTATATAATAAATTCATAGAGTATAAGCTTAAATTGTATGTTAATTTAATAAGCTGCCCTCAGTATTGTATGTAGTTCTGACATAATTATTTGTACAAGAAAATTGAGGTCACCGATATTAAGAGGTTTCAAACGTTGCACAGGTTCTTTTGCAAACAAGTAGTTTTCCCATGGAAATCTCCCACTCCGTTCTAATTTGATAGACATGGTTCTGAGGGATTTAAGCATTCAGAGCACTCCCAGCTTTTACAATCTTTATAAGGCTCTCCAGAAAAGATGGTAGGAGGCAACCCATAATTGTTCAAAACAATGTATGCAATCTACATGTGAACAGAAAATTAAATGTGAAATTAACTTTTAGACAAGACGGCGGTCACGGCATTGAAAGTTTTAAAAATAATGCAAATTTTGAAAACGTGGAAATGAAGCTCATCAATCTAGAATTTAAAAATAATAATAATCAAGATTAGGTAGCACAGGGAATTTATAAGAGATTCAAACTATTATTGAACTGGAAATCTATTTAAATGTACTCTTACTTTGCGACTTCCTCTCATTATGTAACATTAGGACTGGACAGTGAAGGAAATAATTTCAACCTTCACTACTGGTCAAATACCATCAGTTAATAGAAGTATCTATAAGAAAGTTTTTTATTTATTCATTTAGAATCAATTCAGTCAGGGAAGACCAATGGGAGATGTCAGAACAGGAAGAGAGCAGGGCTCGAGTCCTGCAGGAACGCATGGGAACGGCGTTCCTGCACTTTCTCCACAGCAGGAACGCCGTTCCCGTTACCTGTCCTGCAGGACCGGCCCTGCTACCTGCACAGAGGGGCCATCACACGCTGTGTTCCCTCTCCAGCTATAACTCTCGCGAGACCCGCGGCTGTTACTGGAGACCGCGGCTGTTACTGGAGAGGGAACACAGCGTGTGATGACCCCTGTGTGCAGCGGCTGGCTCCCTCCACCGGACCACCAGGCGATCTCCCCCCTCCCTGACAAGGTAAGAAGCAGGGAGGGGGGAATAAAATAAAAAACTATACATACACATAAAGTTAAAAAAAAAATGCTCCCCCCCACACCCATCATCCAGCACTCACTCACACACCCATCATCCAGCACTCACACACACATCATCCAGCACTCACACACATCATCCAGCACTCACACAAACACCCATCATCCAGCACACACACATCATCCCACACACACACACACATCATCCAGCACACACACCCATCATCCAGCACTCACACAAACACCCATCATCCAGCACTCACACAAACACCCATCATCCAGCACTCACACACACATCATCCAGCACACACACACATCATCCAGCACACACACACACATCATCCAGCACACACACACACATCATCCAACACTCACACACACACAATCCAGCACTCACACACACATCATCCAGCACACACACAGACATCATCCAGCACTCACACACACATCATCCAGCACACACACACACCCATCATCCAGCACTCACACACACACATCATCAGCACACACCCACATCATCCAAAACTCACACACACATCATCCAGCACTCACACACACACATCATCCAACACACACACACCCATCATCCAGCACTCACACACCCATCATCCAACACTCACACACCCATCATCCAGCACTCACACACACATCATCCAGCACACACACACCCATCATCCAAAACTCACACACACATCATCCAGCACTCACACGCACATCATCCAGCACACACACCCATCATCCAAAACTCACACACACATCATCCAGCACTCACACACACATCATCCAGCACTCACACACACCCATCATCCAAAACTCACACACACATCATCCAGCACTCACACACACATCATCCAGCACACACACACCCATCATCCAGCACTCACACACCCATCATCCAGCACACACACACCCATCATCCAAAACTCACACACACATCATCCAAAACTCACACACACATCATCCAGCACTCACACCTGCCCATCATCCAGCACTCACACACACATCATCCAGCACTCACACACACCATCATCAGCACTCCCACACACACACATCATCAGCACTCACACACACATCATCCAGCACACACACTCACATCATCCAGCACTCACACACCCATCATCCAGCACTCACACACCCATCATCCAGCACACACACACCCATCATCCAGCACACACACACACATAATCCAGCACACACACACCCATCATCCAGCACACACACACCCATCATCCAGCACACACACACCCACCATCCAGCACACACACACACATCATCCAGCACTCACACACACATCATCCAGCACTCACCCATCATCCAGCACTCACACACACCCATCATCCAGCA